GTCCCTACCCCAGGCAATGCTGAGAATGAACCTCCGGAGAAAGAGGGACTTTCCCCACCCCAAAGGACAACTGCAACCTTAGACCCCAGCAGCCCAGCCCCTGGCGAAGGGCCCAGTGGGCGGAAGAGGAGGCGGGCACCACGAGTGGGAGCTTCGTTGACTCCAGAACTGGCCCCAGTGCAGGTGGGAGCCGAGGGCTGGGGCCAAGGCGTGGTGAGAATCCTGGGCTGGGCTTTGGGGAATCCGGGACTGGGGAGGACTGGCCAGACTGACAATACTGGGTTGGTACCAGATAGGATAGAGGAGTTGGAAAATCAGGCTAGTGCTTGAAGAAGAAAATGGGGCCAGGCAGTGGTGGTGCACGCCTTTAATCCCAGCACTTGGGAGGCAGAGGCAGGCAGATTTCTGAGTTCGAGGCCAGCCTGGTCTACAGAATGAGTTCCAGGACAGCCAGGGCTACACAGAGAAACCCTATCTCGAAAACCAAATCAAAATAAAATCAAAATTAAAAAAAATTCAAGCCAGGCATGGTAGAGCACACCTTTAATCCTAGCACTTGGGAGTCAGAGGAAGGCAGATCCCTGAGTTCAAGGTCAGCCTGGTCTACAGAGTGAGTTCCAGGACAGCCAGGGCTACACAGAGAAACTCTGTCTCAAAACAACAAAGAAAAAGGGAACAGCAGAAGAGGAAGTCAGCTGAGGGATGGTTATCAGTGTTGCCTGATAGTGGAAAGTGTATAACCTGGGGACCGGTGCCCACAGGCTGACCGGTGTGTGTGTGTTTGGGGGCAGTGTGTCTCCTAGGTCTCCAAATCCACTCACATCTTATTCCTTTGTCTTTTCAGATTAAGGTTGAGGAAGACTTTGGCTTTGAAGCAGATGAGGCCTTGGATTCAAGTTGGGTTTCCAGAGGGCCAGACAAATTACTACCCTACCCTACCCTAGCTAGCCCACCCTTTGACTAACCCTTTCTCCCCAATAAACAGATTCCCCATGTACACTTGTCTAGGTCACTGTCTATTGCTCCCACCTCTGATCATGCTCAGGTTCCAGAGTTGGAGGCCACCCTGACTACACACTGAATTCCAGGTCCGCCTATGCTACATATGAGACTTCCTTGTCTCACAACAAAAGAAACCTGGAGCTGGAGAGAAGGCTCATTGGTTAAGAGCACTGTCTGCTCTTCCAGAATAAGTAAATCTTTAGGAAAAGATTGTGGGGTTATTAGTTTTTACATCTTTATTGGAGAGCAACAGGGAAGGGGCCTCTTCCATCAGCATAAGCATTCATAGGTTCTTCAGCCATTCCAAGCTTGGACCCTGAGGATCCTGTGGGTGGCTGGGCACGTCAGGCATGTTCCCATCATCTCTCACAGGCACTGCAAAACAGAAGGATGAGCCACTAGGACCAGCACATCTCCAGGGTCCTGTAGAAAACAGCTGCTCTGTCTCTATATTCCAGGTGAGAAAGGAAAGTGAGGGCCAGAGATTGAGCAGAGGCAAAGACACAGGAAATGAGGAAATCTCCAACAGGGAGAGAAGAACCTGGAGAAGAACAGAAATCTGGAGAGAGAAACTCACAGCATGTTATGGTAAAAGTGTGGACAAAACATTTCAATGCATCAAGGACTCTCCTACACAGATATGCCTGCCCCTCCCCCCAACACAGGTCCCTGCTCACCTGGGTAGTTGTAGGGTGTGGCCTTGTTGATCATGCCAGCATACTTGGTGTAGGGGCTAATCATGGGCACAGTTATAGCTGTGGAGAAAGACAAACATAAGACCCCAGGATGAAGTAGCTCTCCAGGGGTGGGGAACGGGTAAAAACAGCCCTGGCAAAGGGGGGGTGGGAAAAGGCCAGCACAACCAGTAGGGCCCTTTGTTGGGTCCTTGGCTCTCCACCATCCACTTAACATAGGCCAATGTAAATCCTGAGAGTGGGGAGGAGCATAGAGGTCGGAGACAAGCACTCAGTAACACATGAGGCCCAAAGGCTGGTCACAGATTGGGAGCTTTTAGATTAGCCCATGTGGACTAGTCAAGAGTTCAGGAGGAGGGAGTATAAAAGGAATGTAACAGGCTAGTGTTGCTGATGTAAGTTAATAGCCACATGTTAATTTCACATTTCAACTACACATGTTAACAGGCTAGAGATGGCTCAGTAGTTACGAACACTTGCTGCTTTGCAGAGTTTGGCTCCTAGCACCTAGGCTGAATGGCTCACAACTTCCTGTTTTAGCTCCAGTTCCACAGCATCCAACAAACTTATCTGGCTTTTGTGAGCATTCCCATGTATGTGGATACAGAAACACACATACATAAATTTATTTGCAAAAGCTGAGGGGGCTGGGAGATGGCCTTTTGGGTAAGAGTACTTGGCTAATCTTCCAGAAGACTTGAATTCCCAGCAGCCATGTCAGGTAACTCATAAATGCCTATATCTCCGGCTCCAAAAGAAAAGGAACCCATGTCCTCTTCTTGCCTCCATAGGCACAGCACACACACACATGCACACATGCACAGCAGGGGTGGTGGCTCAGGCCTGTAATATCAACACATGAGAACCCACGGCAGACTGCTGTCTGTGGCCCACTTGAGCTAAGTAAATTGTATTCTCTATTTAAAAAAAAAAAACTGAAAAGGTACAAATAAAGTCGGAAGAAGTATTTAACCTTAGAGTTGTGAGAGGGCTCAGTCGTTAAAATGACCTGCTGCCAAGACTGTTAAATCACTAGAACTCAGAATGAATGGAAGGTGAGCACTGGCTCCAGTTAAGTTGTCCTCTGGACCCTCCCCCCCAAACCAACTGGTAGCAAACACACACATCTTTTTAAAAATGTAATTTTAACTTTAAGAAACGAACCGAGTATACTTTAAATCATTATTTTAACATATTCAACATACAATCAATTAAAACCACATACGTCAGCGCATTCTAGGTCTTTGAAAGTCAGGGTGGTAGATAACTGATGTTGGGTTTTAGAACTTCACTGTCACACTCCGGGCCAGCAATGCTGACAACTTTGGAACTATGATGACTGCCAAATCCAAGGCCTCAACCCAGACTTTCAGAATTAAAATTTGATTAACAGGTCACCCCCATGTCCCAAGGCTTCAGTGCACCAGAACTGTGAATAGCCCTGTCCTACTGCAAGTTCTTCACTAAGGAGGCTTGCTGAGAGATTTGTGTAAGTCAGACTTCGCCGAGGAGTTCTGCACTACGAAGTACACGCTGTGTTGAATGTGCACCTCTTCTGTAGGTGTATGTGGTGAGGGAAGAGCGACAGTAATGTCAGGATATGGCTGGCAAGGGGATGCGAGGTGAACTGTGGAATGCTGATGACTTCAGGGTGGATGATGCACGTTCGCGCCGCGGGGTGGGGGCACTCACCGAGTCCCCAGACAGCGAAGGACACCACTAGCACCGGCTCCTTCGCCCAGGCATTCTTTAGGAAGGTGGAGATTCCTATGGGTGGAAATACAGTCACCCTTGGGGACTGCTGCGGTGACCTCTAACACTCTCTTATCACCCCTGCTCTGCACCCTCCGCGCCCCTCTTCTGGGACGGATCATACTGCTCCCCAAGGCTCCACTGAGCCTCAGCCACGGGTCACCCCACGGTTTCCTGGAACTACTTGACCCTCGCGCACCCCGAACCTGTACTTACTCCCGGCCATCTTGGTCTTGGTGGCGACAAGGACGCGGAGCTCTCTGGGAGTTGTGGTCCTTTTCCTTTCACGTGGTCCCGCCCCTTGGACAAGGACCTGGAGCCTTTCGGGAGTTGTAGTTCTGGGGTGAGGCTTAGGAGAACTGAAAGATTTAAATCACCTTGCACACCTGCTGGTCTCACCTTTTTCTTATAGCTTATAGCTTAGAAAATTGATCGGAGACGTAATATCAAATTCTTCTGCAAGAAAGTCAGCTTTATGTTGAGATCTCATCTAGACAGGAACTCATTCTGGAAGTTCTAAATTGATCCCAAAACAGATTAAGGACTGCCTGTGCTTTATGTTACTTGCATTCAGATCACAGCTTTGTTTCCCGCTCTGCCCCTCAGTGCTTAAAACTAAAACCAGGACAGGCTAGGCTACCCATCTACGACTGAGCCATTCCTCCGACCACTTGCTGGTAGATTCTATGACCCCAGGCCCTGGCTGGTGGATTCTAGGCATTTTTTTTTACTGGGTTTTTTTGTTTGTTTGTTTGTTTGTTTTTTGTTTTTTTCGAGACAGGGTTTCTCTGTGTAGCCCTGGCTGTCCTAGAACTCACTCTGGAGACCAGGCTGGCCTCGAACTCAGAAATCCGCCTGCCTCTGCCTCTCAAGTGCTGGGATTAAAGGCGTGTGCCACCATCACCCGGCTCATTTTTTTTACTGTTGAGTCACATTTTTTCAGCCCTTTTGATTACTTTTACTTTGAGACAGGGCATTAAATGGCTCAGGTTGGCTCTGCAATCTTTGAACTTGGCATCCTCTTGCCTTGGTTTCCCAAGCAGGTGGGATTACAAGCCTGAACCCCCAAGACCATGCACATCACTTAAAAATTAAAATATCTGGACTGGACAATGAGAGCAGTAACGGAGTCTAAGCCTTCTCTTTGTTACCAGTATAGTACATATTGTACACCAAACTTCTTTTTCCCTTTCTGCCTTTTTGTTTTAGTTTTTGTTGTTGTTTCTTCTCTTCCATTTCCCTCCCTTCCTCCTGCTCCTTTTCTTTCTCTCCTCAGTTCTGAGGCTAGAACACACTGGACAAGCAGTCTCCCACTTAGCTACAACATCCCCAGCCCTCCTCCTTTACTTTTAAATCGAGTTAGAGAACACCAGAGGCTATGACTGTTCTGTCTTGCAACTTTTTCCAAGACAATGAGGCTATGACACAGTTACCCAGGAGCCTCCACCTGACTCCTCTGTTCCCTAAACAGGCTTTCTGGTGTTGCTTCATTTCTTCAGAGAGTAAAAGGCAGAGTCAGCCTTTTCCCCAGCTCCAAGGAGAGTGCCCGCCATGATCCTGTCACTGATACTCCAGCTGTCGACTCTCTGTGAGCTGTCCCTCCCCTGTGTGTGGGTCCTTGCCTGGGCTGAGGGCTATATCTGATCATCTGGAATTCAATATCCAATTTAGAAAAAGGAGGCAGGACTGGTACCCAGATACCTGAGTCCTAAATGGGGGAAGACAGATTGCTGGGTCTGGGGTGAGCATAGGTTTCTCTGGATCTCCAGGCAGAGGAGAGTAAGGGATATCTGGGGGTCAAAGAATGTACTCAGTTCTCATGGCAAATGGGCAGGACTAACATGCTGGAGGGAGGAGGGCATCTAGACATCAACTTTCAAGGCAGAGAAACCCCAAGGAGCAGAGTATTGTTCGTAGGAAAGTTGGAGAACAGAGGCCTGTCCTCTTGGATCAGACAGCTGGCTTCTTAAGTATGGGGAATGGAAGTCCGGAGTTTTGCTTGATCCTAAAGAAGACAGGGGCAGGATTATTACTTTTCAGAGGAAAAAGAAACAATATAATCAGTGTCTAGGGCTCCCAAGGAGGGAAGACTGGGAGTCACAAAAGGCTTTGTAAAAACTGGCTCCTGACCTTCTGCAGGGCCTGTGTGTCGTGCCGACTTCACATCAAACGGTGAGTGGTATACCCCAAATGCTCTCCTTCGTACTGCTCACGCCTCGTGTGAGCTCACGCCTCGCCTCACAACTCATTCTATTTTGATGCCTAGCTTCACCTCAGATTCCCTCATTCCCCTCTCTTCCTTTCCTTCCATCCCTTCCTCCCCTGCATACCTTGCTTCTTTTCCTTCTCCCTTTTCTCCTGTCTCTTCCACCACCCCACTTCCGTACCCTTCCTTTCCTCCCTCCTCCAGTCCCTCCTCCTTGCCCCCTACCCGTTCCTCCCCTGTCCTTCATCCCTTTAGTAACCGTTACAGGTGAGTAGAGAAGACCATGAATGTGGATGTTAAGGAAACCTTTACATGTTCTTGAACAAACCAGGGGTCTTGATGCCTCCATTTCCTTAGGAAAATTGGCTGCAGTGAGGACTTCATGTAATTATATACAGGTAAACAATAGGCTCAGATCCTGGCATATTTTAGGGCTCCAGACATAGGAATTCCTCAAGGCCAAATATACCAGCTTCTCTTACTGGGGCCCAAAAGGAAGGTTCCCCCACCCCAAGATGGTTTCTTCCTGGGTTTTCTGATGGAGGAGATATTTCTTTTCTCTTCAACTTTCTCCCACTACACTTCAATTTCCAATAAGAATCACTGGGAAGCCATTCATACCTGAGTTGTCAGTTAATTTAATTTTGTTTTATGTATATGAGTCTTTTGCCTGAATGCATATTATGTACACCACATGCATGTCCAGTGCTTGCAGAGTTCAGAAGGCAGGAGGATCCTCTGAAACTGGAGTTACAGTTGGTTGTGAGCCACCATGTGGTGCTGAGAGTCCTACCCCAATAGTTTGCAAGGGCAACAAGGACTCTATCTGCTAAGCCATTTCTCCAGCACCTTAATTCTAAATCTATTTAAATAATAAAGCCAATATTTACTCAAGGTTATAACGACTCGGTCATTACTAAAAGATGCAACAGTCTTCCTCTTCCCCCTCCTGTGTTCCTGAATTCTACCGAAAGCTTTCCAAGCCGTCAGACACATCACACATTTACGCACTTCCTCCTTCTCTTACCAGATCAAAATTAGTATTTCATGACTCATTCTGTTCTGGGTCTCAAGTGTTAAACTTATGTTCTGTCTTAGAGATATTTCCCAATTGCTAGTTAGTGTTCCTTTTTAAATTTATTTACAAATAAGAATTGCCTATGGTGATAGGCAGTGACCGGACACACCTTTAATCCCAGTGTTTGGAAGGCAGAGGCAAGAAGATTTCTTAGCGTTCAAGGCCAGCCTGATCTACATAATGAGACCTTGCCTCAAAAACAAACAAACAAACACAACCCAAAACAACAGCCAACCAGTGGCAGTGCATGCCTTTAATTCTAGTACTAGTGAGGCAGAAACAAATGAATCACTGAGTCAAAGGCCATCCTGGTCTACAGAGCAAGTTCTAAGACAGTCAGGATACATAAAGAAACCCTGTCTCAAAAAAAAAAAAAAGTTGCGCTGTGGTGGCACACACCTTTAATCCCAGCACTTGGGAGGCAGAGGCAGGTGGATTTCTGAGTTCGAGAGTTCGAGGCTAGCCTGGTCTACAGAGTGAGTTCCAGGACAGCCAGGACTACACAGAGAAACCCTGTCTTGAAAAAACAAAAGAAAAAAAGAAAGAAAGAAAGAAAGAAAAAAAGAAAGAAAGAAAGAAAGAAAGAAACACTGGTCATGTGCATAGTGGGCTAGTGCTTTCACTGAGAGACACTTCCAGTTCCCCACTGAGGCATTGTAGGCAGGGGCTCCACCACTAAGCTCACCCCAGCTCCTCACTGGGGGATGATTACAGGTACATCACTACATCTGGTATCCTGTTCCATAACCTTGTGTCTGTGTAGAAGGGATGGACATGGGTGCAGGTGCCTGTAGAGGTCAGAGGTATAAAGGTCCCCCTGGAACTGGAATTACACGTAGTTATGAGTTGCCCGATATGGGTGCTAGATGCCAAACCTAGGTCCTCTGCAAAAGCAGTAAATACTCTTAACTGTAAAGTCATCTTCAGCCCCACCCCCATTCTCTTATTCGTTAAGGACCCACCTTTTAACATTGTTATATTAAAAATTAACTTGAGTTTGTTCAAACGATAGCAATAATTATTGACGTGTTGCAAACTATAACTGCTTCTATCAAGGTGTGGTGCGACAGCTCTGTCATCACAGCACTTGGAAAGCTAAGGCAGAAAGAAGAATTACAAGTCTGAAGCCAGCCTGCACCATTAATGGGCTTGAGGACAAAAGGAATTACATAGTGAAGCTTTGTTTCAAAAACAAAACAGTAACAGTACGTTAAAACAAAGTAACCGGGGCTGGAGAGATGGCTCAGTGGTTAAGAGCACTGGCTGCTCTTCCTGAGGTCCTGAGTTCAATTTCCAACACATCTATAATGAGATCTGGTGCCCTCTTCTGGCCTTCACGCATACATGCAGGCAGAACAATTTCTGGTATGACATTTTGAAACTATGCCTTAAAACTGTAGAGAAGGGGGTGGGGGTGTAGCTCAGTTGGTAGACTGGTTGTCTAGTAGGCCCCAGTTCAGCATCGATGTTGGGGGGAGAGGTGGTGGTCCTGATGTTAGCACAGGTTTATAATCCAGGAGGATCTGGTGGCACAGGCTTAGAATCAGAATCCAAGGTCATACTCCACGACATTGCAAGTTCAAGGCTGGTCAAGGGTACACAAGACCTTGTCTCAAAGCAAACAAACAAAAAACAAACAAAACAACAACAACAAAACAGAGGAGTCTATGTCTTAGTGGTAGAGTGAGTAATTACTCACAATGCATAAGGCCTAGATTCAATCCTTAGCGCAAATAAGTATGAGGAAAAGCTCAAAGGTAGAATACTACTCCTGTGATTGTCAGCTAATTTGGGCTAGCTGTGATTGTATTCCAGGCCCTCCCCTTCTTTATAGAGATTCACGGTGACCGACTTCTGCTTAGGCTCCTGGGGCTTCTGGGTTGGAGGGTCCTAAGGACCTAAGCACTCTTCTTTATTAAGCACCCCTAGCCTCATACCCCGAGCCACGGCTGAGGGCTCATCCTGCTGCAGTTGTGACTCCTGGAATCAACGTAACCTTGATTTGTCATGCACCCCAACCTGCCTGGCGGTTTGCACTCTTCAAAACTGGCCTTGTCACCCCTCTACTCCTCCGGGATGTGTCCATTGAGCTGGCTGAGTTCTTCCTGGAAGAGGTGACTCCGGCCCAGGAGGGCAGCTATCACTGCCGCTACCGCAAGACAGACTGGAGGCCGGGTGTCTGGTCTCAACCCAGTAATGTTCTGGAACTGCTGGTAACAGGTGAGGCCCAGGAAGAAATGGGAGAAGGGCAGAGGAGTGAGATGAAGACAGAGGGTAGGAGAGGGTAGAAAAGGAACACAAGGAGAGATTCAATAGGGAGGTAGATTGTGAGATTCTTAAACTTACTGAATAAGAGGAAGGTGAGTTTGGGGGATGGGAAGGGAGGCAGAAGAGAAAGGAGGAGGAGAGGGAGGATGATTAGAGACAGATAGGCCACCCTATCTAAGACCTTGCCTGTGGTCTACAGATCAGCTACCCAGACCATCACTGGTGGCAATGCCTGGGCCTGTTGTGGCCTCAGGAACCAATGTAAGTCTGCGCTGTGCAGGCCGCATACCAGGCATGAGCTTTGCGCTGTACCGCGTGGGCGTGGCAACCCCTTTGCAATACATCGACTCTGCGCAGCCCTGGGCCGACTTCCTTCTGATCGGCCCGCAAGCACCTGGCACCTACTGTTGCTACTACCACACACCCTCCGCCCCCTATGTGCTATCACAGCGCAGCCAGCCACTGGTCATCAGTTATGAAGGTAAGATGCTCTGGCTCTCCTCCTTCAGACCCAGGGGATCTGGGGACATCAACTCCGTTTAACTTAGAAACAACTCCATCTGTGTGTTAGAAACACAGAAGAGCACAAGACTCTGGGATACTGGACCAACACCCTGTCTCCCTCTCTTTGGCTCACAGGTTCTGGCTCCTTGGATTATACCCAGGGAAACCTCATCCGTTTGGGGCTGGCAGGACTGGTCCTCATCTGCTTGGGCACCATAGTTACTTTCGATTGGTACAGCAGGAGCTCTGCTTTTGGTGGTTCCCCGCCCCAGCAAAACTGGGTATAGGCCTGTGGGATGAGAAGAGAATACCTGGAGATAGACAGAGAAGTTGGGATCCTCGGTGACCAGCCCCTCCGGAACACTCTAGGCCTCCAGACTCCACTGGGTTAATCATCCTTCACCACGTTATTAGGCTTGTTGAAGGATTAAAGGAAGTGACTGGCCTGTGGTAAATGACGTCCAGTTAACTGTTAGAGACTTTATCCTCCCTTGAAAACCTCTATGTCCTTCACGTACCTTATTTCCTGTCCCCCAACCTCTCCTTTCTCTCTCTTTCGGGCTATGTTGGGATCATAGGTTCATTCTACTATATCCAGCAAAAATGTATAATTACATATTTTAAGGAGTGATCCGAGTGCCTCCGCATGTGTGGAGGTAAAAAGACAACTTTCAGGAATTGATTTTCTCTGTCCATCCTGTAAGTCCCGGGGTTTGAACTCAGGCTGTCAGGCTTAGCCGCAAGAACTTTACCCACTGAGTCATCTGTCTGCCTCCTGGTAATTTTTTTTTTTTTAACGTATATGAGTGTTTTTGCCTGTATGCATGGTGTCACTTGCAGGTCCCAAGGAAGTCAGAAGAAGGCATCTGATCTCTCGGAATTAGAGTTACAGGTGGGTGAGTCACCTTGTGGGTGCCAGGAGCTCAACCAAGGTCCTTTGGAAGAGTAGCCAGTGCTCTGCCAGGCCCCCAAATCTATAAGACTAAAGTACTCAATCTCTTTTCTCTCCCAGTATTTTGTTTTTTTTGTTTTTTTGTTTGTTTGGTGCAAGGTATTGAACCCATGTCCTTTTACATGCTAGGCAAGTACATTACCCCATCTCTCTGGTAATTTTTTAATTTTTTTTTTTTTTTTTTTATTTATTTTATTTTATTTTATTTTATTTTATTTTTTCAAGACAGGGTTTCTCTGTGTAGCCCTGGTTGTCCTGGAACTCAGGCTGTAGACCAGGCTGGCCTCGAACTCAGAAATCCGCCTGCCTCTGCCTCCCAAGTGCTGGGATTAAAGGAGTGTGCCACCATTGCCCGTGGTAGTTTTTTAAAAAGTAATAGTTTTTTGCATTTTGGAAACAGTATTATTCTGTAACTTAAGATGACCTGAACTTGAATAAATATTCCTGCCTCATCCTCTTGAATACCAGAATTACAGTATGAGCTATGGCACTCAGCTGGAAATATTTTTTTTGAAGGGTGTTTACTATACTGGAATTTATTATGTTATGCACATAATACTCTTGAACTGGACTAGGGAAGGGGGCTATGTTGGTCCCGTCCTGACCTGACACTGTCTGGACAGTGAGAATCTCCAGAAGTGAAGATGCATCACTTTTGTATCACTTCAGTCCCATGACTGACAGAAGAAAGCAAGAACTGTTCATCTAGGGCTCTGGTTTCAGAAGATTCTGTCCCTAGTCATTTGGCTCCATGTTTCTGGGCAGCTCGTGAAGTAGAACCGTATGGCCGAGAAGCTTCTTCGTGACAGACAGGAAGCAGAAGCTCCATCATTTCCTTCATGATCTCTTCCTTGATTCCCATCCAAACCCTTTCTAACCCCTCCTCCCACCTTACCCCAGAACAGACCAAACAGAGACCAACGCGCTCCCACCTCAGCTCCAGGCACATTTACAAGGTGACTAGATCCATCACTACCTCCAATGGGGATCTGTTGCCAGGGCAACAGTAAACAGACCTCACATAGTAGAACTTTGACCTGGAAACCGGCTAGCTTGGTTTGCTTCCCACTAGGCTCTTGGCTGCCCTCACTGTTGTAAAAATAACACAAACCATTCTTGCAGCCTGTTTTTTCAACTTGTTATGTCTCTTACCTTCCAAAGCATGGCTGCCTTCCAGTATCTCCTGACTTTATTAATTAATTTAACTTTTCTCTTTTATCTGACTAAACAATGCTTGGCCATTATTAGACACACAAATCTGGAAGCAATTCCTACCACTTGACATTCCTGCTGGCTTGTGTTTCAATTCTGGTGGAGTGCATACCCAATCCTGCTTTTATGATTCTCTACCTCCTCCTCTTCTCTTTCTACTTAATGAAGATTCAGATTTGTGGAGGTTGTTTTGTTTGCTTTTTTGAGACAGGGTTTCTCTGTGTAACCCTGGATGTCCTAGCACTCACTCTGTAGACCGGGCTAGCCTTGAACTATCTCCTTTCTTCCTTCCTCCCCATTCCTGCTCCCTTCCTTCCTTCTTTTAAAAATATTTTAGTATTTATTTTTGGACAGGAACAGAGTAAGGACAAAGTTTACATCACAACCCAATATACAAACTTTCTCCATATGGGGGCTGAAGAGATGTTTCTAGGGTTAATTACTGGTACCACATTTGTAAAAGATTCAAGGTTAGTTCCCAGCATCCATGTTAAGTAGCTCATATCACCTGTAATTCCAGCTCCAAGGAATCAGTGCCTCTTGCCTCAACTGGTACCTGTGTGTATATACATAATTAAAAATAATAAAAGCAAATCTTAAAAACACAAATCTCATATACTGTGTGTGTGTAAAACCAAGTATGTATACATACATATAGACAGACAGACATATATATGTATATAATGAATATGTTCATGTTTTATGATCTAAGGTTTAGTTGTACATGCTTGTACAGCATGGTTTATCTTATTTAAAATGCTACTCGTGGGACTGGAGAGATGGCTCCCTCCATGTAAGAGCACAAACTTCTCTTACAGAGGACCCAAGTTCAGTCTAGGCACCTACACCTGGTAGCTTACAACTGCCTGTAACTTCAGCTCAAAGAAAAAAAGAATTACTAGGATTCAAAAGAAAAAAAGCCCAGAACAGGCAAGCTATAAATCTCTGCAGCTGCTCAGAGGAAAATGGAGAAGAGAAGAGAAACCATGCTGTTTGAATTATGTCATCATAGAGGTTGGGTATACAGTGGGAAGGGGAGCTTTAGAGGGAGAGTAAGGAAGCCCAAGGTACCAGGGAAAGCATACTTAAGTGCTGGTTTAAGAAAAAGACAGAGTAGAAAGAGTCAGGCATTCAGAGAGGTGGGCAGACTCAGCTGAATCTCATAGTAGCTTATAAGGACTCTTGGAGCAAGAATTCTGGGAAGGCAAAGTGCACAGTCACCTTAAGGGGTTAGTCATTATCCCTATCCCTTTAAGGTGGATTCACCTTCCTCAGGGGTGGACCCTTGGTCTGAGTGATTGGCCTGCTCAACTAGCGTGCCTCTTAAGGGAGAGACGATGTCAAGTCTCCACCTAGTGGTGGATTCCATTCCTCACTATCACACCACAGCATGTATGTGTGGAGGTCAGAGAACTTTGGGGAGTTGATTTTCTCCATCAACTAAGTAGATCCCACAGATAGACTTCATGTTGTTGGTGTTGGTGGCAAGCACCTGTCTTAGCTACTGTTCTATTGTGAAGAGACACCATGACCATAGCAAATCTTATGAAAGCAAGCACTTTGGTTTGCTTACAATTTGAGTATTAGTCCATTATCATTAATAGGTCTTTCTGATGATGAAAACCAGCCAGTTCAAACCAAATTAAGAGTATAAAGCCAGATTTATTGAGGGGCAGCTCTTGGGCGAGTTAACCGATCTCACAGATGAAGGTCAATAGAGTCAAAAGCCTGAGCTAAAGCGAGGGGGTTTTATGGGTCTTGGGCACGGGGTGATGAGCTAGGAGCTGGGTTTGTACACCCAGCGACTATTACTGTATAAGGCAAAAAGCCGAGACCCTGGGAATGCACTCGTGGGTGGGTTGCTGGAAATGGGGAGACAGGTAGAGATGACGTGTTAGCCTGGAGTTTTCCTGCAAGTGGGGTTGGGAGAAGAAGAGCAAACAGGGTTTCTTAGTTATACAGGAGGAGAACCTAGGGTTCCTCCCAAACAATCATCACGGTGGGGAGAACGGCAGCGTACATGGAGCTGGAGCAGTAGTCAAAAGCTGCATCCAGACAGTGAAACATTGGGCTTGGTCTGAGCTTTGTGAAATCTCCAAGCCTAGGCCTAGGAGATACACTTCCTCCAACAAAATCACCCCTACTCCAACAAGGCCACACCTCCTAATCCTAATCGTTCTCAAATAGTTCCGCTCCCAGGAGACTGATCATTCAAATATATGAGCCTGTGGTGTACATTTTTATTTAAGCCAATACAGAACATTTATCCTCACTGAGCCATTTTGCAAGGCCGCAGGATAGTCCTTTTGTGAGCCTGTTGCAATGGGTAAGAAGCCAGAGAGTAGAGCCAAAAGTCCATGGTTGTGTTTTTTGTCTTAGAGTTTCTATTGCTGCAATGAAACACCATGACCAGAAGCAATTTGGAAAGAAAAGTATTCCCATATAACAGTTTATCACCACAAGCAACAAGGGCAGGAACTCATGCAGGGAAGGAACCTGGAGGCAAGAGCTGATGCAGAGGCTTATTGGTTTGCTCCTCATGGCGTGTATGAAATCAAAACAGAAGCCACATTGTTACTAAGTCTCCATACCTTACAAGAATAAATTTCTGTCTCCTACGCCTAATGTATACTGCAAGCCACGTTTCTCAACCTGCGCTGAACTTGTCGCCGCATGATGTGTACCCACCCCTTTGCCTTGCTGAACTCCTGAACACCTGTGGTATATGATTACCCTGTTGCCTAATGGAAACGTGTTTTCCCAGTTACCTTGGTGATGCCCCGCCACATGATGTATTCTTGCATTTATCTATCCCACAGGCAGCCTTGAGCTCTGAGTCCCTGACTCTTCTGTCCAAGTACAAGCATCTAATTATGTCAGCTCTCTTCTGTCAGCCCCAGCCCTTCCTCACAACGGAGACCTCAAAAGCCAGTGAGGGCTGCTTCCTGAAATCACAGCTTTGGGAGAAGCAGCCAGCTGACCACGTTAGACAAAGCTTGCTAAGTTAGACCGCTGTCAAGATGTTTTCTTCTTAAGTCTAACACTGTCTCAGCCTACTTTCTTATAGAACCCAGGACCACCAGCCCAGGTGTAATACTACCACAATGAGCTGGGCCTTCGCCC